CAGGGTAAAAATACACGCACCTGCCACCGGGTGTCCTGGTCGAATGGGAATTCTTGACGATCGATTCCCCCGCTGGCAAACTTTTATTGTGGTAGAATTTAATCAGGGCGGAGGTAATTTAAACGGGGCGCAACGATTGAAACAGGGGGGAGTTTTCCCAAACGGGGCGCGCGCGCCCCGTTTGCGCAACGTAGGGAGAACCCTGGGTTAGGGTTATTGTTAGGGTTACTGGTTAGCGTTAGAATTAGGGTTAGGGTTAGGGTTAGGCACATTGGTTTTATTGGGACCCATGTTCTCTATCCTTGGGCCCAGATTTCTGTGTATCATCAACTGATGCACAGACTTTCCGTATATCAAGGAATGATGCAAAAACCCTAACCCTAATCATGCCTGCTGATATTTTACCTAACTAACTAATTTCATAAAAATTCCTACAAATAAAATCTTGCCCTACAACAACAGCCAGTCTTATTATACTTGTTCCTCTGACAGTAAAAATCTCCTGCTTTATCTAACAGATGTGTTGTGCAATAGGACAGGTTGAAGATGCCAAAGAGCACCCCCATATTAATATTCAATGAAAAAACTAGTACGCGTACTCATATTATTCATACAGAATTCTGTATAACATCTACTCACAACGTGGATGAATTGATAGGTAGGTGGATTGGAATTGGATGGGATTGGATAGATGGATGGCTTGATTGATGTTTATTGACATGAAAATTGAAAAAGTTAAAAATGCAATCGTTGATAATGGAATTGTGTACAACTTATTTCTACATATTGCATTTGTGTTTTGTAGGTACATGGACAAGAACCTTTCATGTAAGTTAATTTGCATTTATACCTTGTGTGGTATTAAAGCCGCAATATGCGCATCCAAACGCTAAATTCTCCAGTACTAGACTAGCAAATACTTCGTGTCATGCATAATCAATAAATCATACTACCTTATGACAAAATAAACTCTAGTTCCTCCCATTTCACTGCGCGTTGTCTTATAAAAGGTATTTGAAAATACCTCCAATGTTGTTCAAATTCTCCGATGTTGTTGACACGTTCGCATTGCTCTGCCAAGCAACGGTAGCAACCGTACAGCGGGTGCAACCCGAAGCAACATGTGATGTCACCTAACCGATTCGGGGCTAAATTGTTTGGCAAACAATTCGGCGTTGGCGCCAGATTGCCAGATTTCGCACCTCTTTCTTGTGGGTTTTAAGCAAACGCGCAGTGAAATGGGAGGAACTAGAGTTTATTTTGTCATAAGGTAGTGTGATTATGCAGGACACGGAAGTATTTGCTAGTCTAGTACTGGAGAAATTAGCGTTTGGATGCGCATATTGCGGTTTTAATTACAGTGGTTGTCTTTTGAGGGCGCAAAATGTAATTCAGTGTTAATCTACAATGTGTTTTGATTTCTATCCCTTTCTATCTGTTACATCTTTAGTTTTACATGCGCTAGAGAGGTATTACTCTCAGCTTTGGGGACACATAAAACTACATCCATTAGCAACAAAACTCGTTAGTGAACAGCTACTGGTTAGTTCGTGCATCTTAAAAGGCGAGCGATAATTGTTTGTTTACGATTCGCACGTTAATGATATATTTGTCTCCAGTGAAATTGAATGGGAAGCGACATGTGTCAGGAATGCTGCGAGGATTCGACCCCTTCATGAACCTTGTCATCGACGATGGCATAGAACACAAGAAATCTGGTGAAAAGATCAACATAGGCATGGTGGTACGTTGGTAATTTAAGCATACGTTATAAAAGTGTACTCCAAGTTTTAATAATCTGTAACAATAATGGATACATATATGGTAGATACTCTAATATTACTACTTATATACTATACACATACTATATATATACTATATATTATATACGTAGATACTTGAAAGCAAAGTAGGGATGTAATATTCACATTGCAGGTGATCCGTGGCAACAGCATAATTCTGTTGGAAGCACTTGATCGAATCTGACCCCTGGCATCGCCATTGCTTTGTAGAGGACACATGCCCATTCTGTCAGCATCTACACTGCATATTTGTACATATAAGTTCATTGTGATCAGAATCTTAGTGAAGTAATTCCATCATCTATTTGTAAAATAAGGAGTTCTGTTAAACAGTGTACTTAACTGTGTTGTGTACTGTACTGTCTTACAGCACTTGTGTTGCAATCTCTTAGGTTATTAAATATTTGTGTGTACAAATAATATTAGTTGCAAAACTAGATCACCTGCTGTTGTCATCTCTGCTACTTCATGCTTCTAAGCTTGGAATGGCTGTCAGTGTCAGGCACGTTAGTACAAGGAATGTAAGTAGAATAACATTTGGCTTGCAGTCACTATTCTCTTTGTTCAAGTGTTTTAAATGTGTGATCATGTCAGTGGCAAACACTTGCATTGCAGTTCGTAAGAATAGGACATTTATATAATACAGCCAACTTATGTCTATGTACGTGTTACAACCTGAGCTTGCCTGAGTTTAGACCTTTCGCTGGCCAGAAGACATATCACTGATCGTGAAATTTCTAGAACGTTTATATTTACATAAAGTTCTGATTACTACTGTCAAAGTATATTGGGGTTTGTGTCACTTCATATTTCGTTTTTGTCTGTTGTGTTTCCTACTTTTTTTTAGTCCCTTATTTTAATTGGTTGGGGATAAACGATTTTGAACAGAATTGATATGCACTGAAGTATCTATATATCTGAAGTAAAAGATTTTATTTTTAAGACCAATAAAGAAGCTCCATCACAGAAAATTTAAAAACAGTAGTATTTCTTTACGAGTTTATTTATTGTGTATTTACAGAACACCATACAACGCGCACCACCTAGTCATTCATACTTGAACATCTCATTACCCTGCCGCACACGACTTTGAAAGGTCAACTGGCTCAGTGTATGCGTGCTTTTGATTGTCGGACATACCTGTCTCTTTACATAATCTAATATGCACAGACATACATCAACACATGTTACAATCCCAATAAAAAGGAGATATGACTTCCCTGTACATTGCGTTGTGACGATAGTTCATTCACAAAAGTTACACAGCTTACATTGCAGTGATTCCAAATTTAAGCAGTTGCTATATTAATTCCCGATTACAGTAAAGCGAAGTGACAAGACTTTGTTACTATGTCAACAAAAGCTGAGCAAGTATTTTCTCTCAATCTGCCTTAAATAATCTACGTGATCATGTCTGGATCTTCTTGATTCCAAAGTATTCCTCACTAAATTTTTGGTTAGTAAAAACTGCCACGTGAAGATACCACAGTGGTAATCTACAATAAGCAGACGTTAGTATTTAGGTCTGAGAGCGCAGGCCACTCGGTATTCAAGGCAAAGCTACTACTAATAACCCTTGGTCACACACCTGTACATCTTACAAATACATCACACATGCAGTGCAATTTACAAGACCATGAACAAATAACCAGCATCAACACCCGTGTGAGCTAGTTGATGCAATAACGTCACATAAAATATACTGTATCTTTCATATTCTCCACTAGCAAACATTGGCATTTGCCAGCGACAAATGTCTTTCTTAGGCGGTAGCCAAACACTTAAGTGCACTTTACCAGGTAAAAACCCTAGTTCTGATAACCTTGACAAATTCGTGCATTGCATATACATTAGGCTGGTACACAAATATTCGAAAAGTGTTTCCTCATTATCAAAATATATAATCTCACATCATGCACAACAAATCTATATCCACGTGTATGGAATCCACCACATATGCAATGTAGAATTGTGTGCAAAACGCACAAAAGCGAGAAGCAAACAGAAGAAAGCTGTTATTAAATTGAACTAAGCAAGAGTAAACGAAGTGACAAAGTTGATGACAGGAATCGTGAGAGATTCTTCAGAACATTACTACAATTTCAAAGTTATGCTATGTGAGCCTATGTCACAGTAATACTACCGAACAGAGAATGCTGCGCCCACAACACGTTGCCTATTCACAAGTTATAGAAGATTGTTCTACACCACGCAAATTAGAATCTATGTTTACACCGCAACTGCAACCAGCCAACAAAAGCAACACCCAACAACATGTGACAATTTCAGTAAAAAGATAAAGGATTAACAAACAGAGAGAGAACTTTACAAATTAATATCGAAACATCACAAGCATTCAAGTTCAACATTAGGAATAGTGACACAAAAACGAAAGCCACCACATGGATAGTAAGCAGAACGCATGACCTAATCCATTCTTGCTAAACAACAAATCTTGTCGACGAACAACATGCAGTTTATGTACACACACATAAAAAAAAGAAGTTTACACAGTAACGTAGCGGTAATGTAACATTTGACATGTAAATGCCCACAAGTTAGTCCTAAAAGCTGCCTGGGTGCTATCAAATGTGTGAAATCTATATTCTTTAATCGTAAGAGCAGTATTGGTTAAAAGCTGTTCATTTGTAATTAATCACCAGTGATTAATTACACCAGACTTTATGACATAGCTGATGCGATGATGTTACATAGTGCAAGCATCTCTGCATCCTACAATCACACAGCTTTCCCTATACGAGTTACTAGATTAAAAAAAGGTTGGCAATGATTTTTAGTGGTAACAAATTCATTTACATAAATGTATACAGTGATTAATATATGAATATAAGAATAAGCCCAAATAGGCTAATAGCACTAATCTTGATCCATATAAACCACAAACCGGCATGACCTCCAAACAAAAGCGGGTGCGTGTTTAGTCTCTATCCGTAGAGGGGGGGAGTCTCAATGGATTCACTTACCAAAGAGATCAGTGAATCATTATCAACAGACAGTCCCTTGTCCACATTTCATTATCATCATACGAATTGTGTCAATTAAATTAAATTTCTCTAGGGAGTGCACTCAATAATTGAGGCAGGGGCAAGGGTGAACATTGCTTGAAACACCCCCCGTTTTCCCCACCTATTGTAGACAATCTTGGTTGTATTGCCTTCAGTTGTGATTCCCGACATATACTCTGATATGCGAAATTGCAAGTGCCACATTAAAAACATTAGGAGTTCATGGAAGCATCAGGTAGGTCAGCCAATAATGGGAATATATGGAGCATTTTAGCTTTAAATCACACATTCATATAATTACAGAAAAAACTGAGTCATTTACAATGTCATATACAGTTTTAGCACATGTGGTATTGGTTCAATATTGCAGAGCCTACATAAAACGGAGAAATTACAAAGGCTTCTTTACTCATTGTAGCTGCTAACAATGTGAATGATCACACATTATCGATATGTAACCACACTCAGAAACCCTTCACCCTTTCCAGAGTCAACGGTCCTGCTAGACACAAGTGCAAACGTCTCACCTACACTCAGTACTAAACCCATCCAATTAGTAATCCTTACCCAAAATCTTCCACGATCACAGGGCCGTAGGCTGAGCAAATTCCTAGGGGGGCAGTGGCGGATCCAGGATTTCAAGGAGGGGGCGAGAAACAGGCGGGGGTCTGGGAATGTGAAAATGTAGATCGCAGGAGATGGTATTTAAGGCACTTTTGAGTACATGTACAGCCTTAATTTTCACTACGACAATTCTCTTTTAGTAGAACAATTTATTTTTTTAATTTTGCTCCAAAATCTAGGGGGCAGCTGCTTCCCCCCCCCCCGCAGGCTACGGCCCTGGATGCAGGATCACATATGACGGCTGTACGTCCTATGCTCGATGCACAAACAACTTATGAACGCTCGACATCATTCACACAGATCACTGTTTCTATAGCTGTTAGCGCACTGGCAATGGTCAACCACGCCATCAATACTGAACGTTTGTCACACTCGTGCGGACAGATTTTCGGGTGCGAGGCAGTGTAGCATGTCTCTCCTGAAACGTCAAAAAGCCTGTGTTCACTTTAAAGCACATACGTGTTTGCATTTTCTAATTTTAGTGGGCTATACGAACGTATCACAAACACAACTGTACACTCACTAGACAATCATTGAGAACTGATGACAAAACAAATTTCATTGAGAAATTAAAATCTTCACTGAGAACTGAGAAAAACGAACTAAACTGAACTAAAGTTTGTGGCGTGTCGTCCATCAGCACCCACTTCCTCTGACGGATTAGCGATACAAGTCAAATAATTAAAATCGACTTCAAATACCTGGTTAGGCGTAAACGAGCCGAATGTTCGTACTTACGTCGATCGAAGACGTGCTGGTCTTCTTCGTTCGCCGCTTGGTCGGACCTTCAACCCTGTTGTTGTTCTTTGAACTGCGAGGTTTAGGCTCATGCTCTACACTCAGATCGCTGCAACGACACGCCGGATCGAGACGGATTAATAACACAGACGCCTTTAAAATGTCAGCGACATGCTAGATCAGTGGTTCTTAACCTTTTTGGCCCCATGACCCCATCAGACATTCTTGGTCAGTACCATGAACCCCGAAAAAATTTTTTTTTTTAAACAACCAGCCCGATTTATATAGAATTTAAATGGATTTGTTTCATTTATGATACCCTCATGACCCCCCGTAAAACCCCAAACGACCCCCAGGTTAAGAACCGCTGTGCTAGATACTCACTGCGCCTGGAATAACCCTGTAACTCACAATGTTTTTGCGACAATGGTAGGAGTCTAGGAGAAGAAACAACCGATAAGTATGAACAGGTGGCTGCATGACAGCATGCAGTAGTAGTAAGTAGCGATAGTCATATTGTGCCGAGTAGATGCATATATATTGAAAGATCTATTATCTATTATGCTATACTATACTTCTAGTGCTTGCATGTACGGATGCCACTAGGGACAGCGCGTCTCCCAAGTCCGAAATAGTAGGTTTCAGGGGAGAGATAGTGATCCGCTAGATGGCGCATTATTAATTAACAATTAATAAAATCAGTTAACCCTAACCCTAACCCTAACCCAAATCCTAACCCTAACCCTAACCCTAATCCTAACCCTATCCCTAATTCAAAATAATAGTAATAAGGCCCTCTAGGGAGAGAATTCGGTACCATGGGAGACGCGCTGTCCCTAGTCGCAGCCTGCATGTACTATAACCACGTGGTCTCCTGTCATCACGTTATCAATACAACATCAGACCATCCCATATTAAATCTGTAGACAAAGCTGCTGACGAGACACACAGACCAGATATAGGCATTACACTTGTATGTGTAGCCGGCACAGTTAATGTAATCCGCAACATGTGGCAGAATTCCTCATCTGCTACACATAAATATTTACGCGAAGCCCACATCCACATACGAGAGACTGTGTGGGCGATAGGTAGTGGCTTGCAACGCAGTGCATCGGTGGAAAACTTGGTGGCTGCTAGACAAAGTTTTAGTGCACGTGTGTTTACAGGCAGAAAAATTTGCTGAATGTTTCTGAGAGGATGTGAAACGATACTAAAATATTGTAGCTAGCATTAATCTTTTTACTAAAATAATGAAATAGTAAGTAAAAAATTAGTAGACGAGTAACTGAGGAATTCAGAGAGGGGCACGTAGTGCAATTATATCTACTTGTGGTGAGAAAAAGTGAGTTGTTAATGGCGCAGAAGTAGTCGTAACAATGCAGGGGGAGGTAAGTAGGTACCCTGAATAAGTCATTAAGGGAGCATATACCATCATCACAGATTCACAGTGTAATACGCCCTCTGATTTGAAATATTTATGAATTTTCATTGTCATAATTGACTGAGCTTATCATTTGCCTGCTTTCCATTAGAGACAGAATTCTGTTATTTGTACACGAACTCCCAGGTTTTCGATGTATGCACGCCAGTAGGTTTCACCAAAGGATCTCTAGTTTAACAGAAAACACAAATTTTAAATGCGATTCCTATAAGAGGGGGGGAACGGGTATTTTCGGGACGCGGGATTGGCCATTTTAATTAGCTGGGAACTGGGAAATGTCAGATGAATTTTCCGTGATTCGGAAAGTCCATCGGGACGTGGGAAAGACCCTCTAAAATTGTCTGGGATCTGTGAAAATTGTGTCAATTCGTCGGGATTTCAATTTCTGCGCTAATATTTATTTTTTTATTTTTATTTTTTTATTAATTATGCCCAGATAAATAATAGTATGTAAATATTATTTATGTAGTGTTTGAAAACCTAAACTACTGAATTTCCTGAAACATGTCTACATAATTTCCTGGGAACTGGAAATTGGGATTTTATTTTACTGGGAACTGGGATATTGGGTGTTTTTTGCTGGAAAAGTGGGAATGTACCCCCCCCCCCGTTCTCCCCCTCTTACATAAGTAAATGTACAATTTGTTTCCTTCCCAGCTGAGGCTGACTCCCCCCTGGGCTCCCGGTATAAATGTATCACAACAAAGAGCGTCATAATATCGACGATAATATGATTGTCTATCCGTATGCGTGCGTGCGTGTGTGCGTGCGTGTGCGCGTGTGTGTGTGCGTATGTGTGCTCCTGCTCTAATTAACCCTACTCTGCCTACACCCTTAATTAACCCTACTCTGCCTACACCCTTAATTAACCCTATACTCTGCCTACACCCTTAATTAACCCTACTCTGCCTACACCCTTAATTAACCCTATACTCTGCCTACACCCTTAATTAACCCTACTCTGCCTAC